CGTGATGTATCGGCCTCACACAGCGTGTGCCCACGGCGCAACCACCTGAGCCCTGGGCTCAACGGTGCGGCACAGCCCTTGCTTCTGGAAAGAGCCCGGAGGCTCACGTTGCTCTGTAACCAACTGGCATGCTGCAACTGTCTGAATCCCCACATATGGAAAAATATTGAAAACAGGCCTCTCGTGGATATTCAGGCCCGCCCTCGCTTAGGGCGGGCACAGGCTTGGGCCGCAGCCCAGAACACTTGTATGTCTTATAAGGGGCCCGCAAGGGCTCATTCCTCACAAGTATTACTATTAGTATTATTTTAAACCTTGGCCGGCTACTAGGGGGGGCTGAAAAAAACCAAAAAAAAAAGGAAGGTCACTTCTTGCCTGTAGCTTTTCCTGTTCTCGCTTGAATAAAACTGCGCCTAATCACGCCTGTACATAGACAGAAAGTTGGCCCCAATACAGCTACAATCACCAGGGGTTCTATTTGGGGTGAAGACAGTGCAGGAGTCTACAGAGCTCGGAGGTGGCCTGTGTCCGGTTAAAATTGTTGCCCTTTTCTTTCTTTCTTTTTTCTTTTTTCTGTTTTTTTTTGTAAAAGGTATCATCATCAAACTGACTGGCCCGAGAAAATTTCAGAGCAATTTTATTCGTCCGGTTCCATCACAATTCGAAGTCAGGTCCGTTTATTAAACTTTATTTACAGTTCCCTCTGGAGGAGTGGAATGTGCACAATGCTTCATTCCTTTTCCACTGAATCTCCAGTCCATTTGGTACCCATCGACCATTTCAGATCCTAGCAGCCATCGCAGCTATGACTGGTTGGTTCCTGGTTCCATCCAGTGGAAAAGCGGAACCATTTCAGATCCTAGCAGCAATCGCAGCTATGACTGGTTGGTTCCTGGTTCCATCCGGTGGAACGGTGGAACCATTTCAGATCCTAGCAGCCATCGCAGCTATGGCCAGTTCCTGGTTCCATCAGGATTCGAACTGTGCTTTCCATCAGGACTAAAACATTGCTTTGTTGTCCTTCGGGACATCCGTTAAAATTGGACCGATACAGAGAAGGGTAACTTAGCAAATGGCCCCTGCGCAAGGATGACTCGCATAAATCGAGAAATGGTCCAATTTTACTATTAAGAAAAAAGAAAAAACCTCTGCTTTTGTTTGTCTGGTTCCATCAGGATTCGAACTCTGCCTTCCGTCGCGATTTGAACTCTGCCTTCCGTCGCGATTTGAACTCTGCTTTCCATCACAATTCCAACTCCGCCTTCCATCACGATTCCAACTCTGCATTTGTTTGTCTGCTTTCCTCAGGGTTCGAACTCTGCCTGCTTTCCGTGCGTTTTTCAAGCATGAGCGAACATAGAGCTGGTGAAGCCTGCCCTCTACTAATAAGACTGTAATAATGGTGAACTGGCCGCTACGGTAATGGAAAGCAGAGTTTGAATCCTGATGGAACCGGAGTTCCAACCCTAGACTGTCCCTCTCTACGACTGTAAATGACGATAAACTCCTCGCCGACTGCAGCTCCCATGAGCAAGGCTCTTTCGGAGCCTGAAAATGAGAGTTTTCTCTTTCCTTCTTTCTTTTTCACAAGGGCGACAAGTTCGCCGACAACGGCCTTGAGATATCATCATCGAGCTGACCGGCCCCAGGTAAAAATTTACAATTGCATTGTTCTGCTCATCCGATTGCATCAGGATTCGAACCCAGGTCTGCATTTCCACAGCTCATGAGCGTACCAACTGAGATGCCAGTTTACCCCCTTCTAGTTTATCATCAAGTGTTCTCTCTACTGCCCGGCGGAAATTTTATGGACTCCACTCGACAATGCTCTACTCGTGCTTTAGTCATCAAAACACATTTCTATTTTGTCTACAGACTCTACACTAGACTCTAGAGCTATTAGTTTCCTTCTGTTAGTTTCCTTCTATTTTGTCTATCGACTCTACACTAGACTCTAGAGCTTTACTCGTGCTTTAGTCATCAAAACACATTTCTATGTTGTCTATCGACTCTACACTAGACTCGACAATGTTGTAAATAACACTCCCCCACCAGTGTTAGTGCTGCTGGTAAGAGCAGACACCACTAACACCTGGGGAGAGGCTCCATCTATTAGTGGGGAGCATCACCTGCTGGAAAACGGGTCCAGCGTCCCTTGAAAGAAAACATCTTACGAAGGTGAAAAACAGTGTGAAGTCTGCCAGCATTGATTACCCTGCACAGCAGGGGATTGACTGAGCAGACCCTATGAAAATGGTGGCTATGGAGTCTGCCAGYATTGATTGCCCTGAGACCCAGGGGATTGACTGAKCAGATSCTGTGTAATACTCAGTAAAGTGGCCTTGTGTGAGCATGCAGGTCCGCCAAATCCCTTTCTGTATCTCTTCACCCTTATAAAGGGCGTCAGATAGACCGKTACRGACTGATACTAGGGACTGATACTAAACAGGGGGGCCAGGGGAWTGACTGCGCAGTCTTGTCGGCCAAAATGGAGCTGTCTCTTCGGTCTGCCCCCTCCACCAGACTACCCATGCCGCCCTGACAGCTGTCCTAGCCTGCCCTATATCTGCCCGACCTTGTCCCTGCTATCCGCTACCAGCCTGCTCTATACCTCTCCCACGTTGCCCATTCAATCCGCTCCATACCATTACATGTCTACCATAGCCAGTTTGTGAGGCGGGAAAGGGTCGGGAAAGTCTGATGCCGGTCGCAGCAGAACAGCCTGGCCGACTGTAGTCCAATCTCCTTTTCCAAAATTTACCAAAAGAAGAAATTTTCCACAGATTGTCCCCAATGTGGTCCAGTCTTTGGGTGTGCATCAACGCCTGCTGTTAGCGGCAAGCATACATCTGAGCCAAAAGGACGGATTCCCTGTGAGGTTCTTTCATATGCCACAGTTGAGGTTCCTCCCCCTCTGCATTCGAAGACCACAGAATACCATCATACGTCTAGTACCCAGCCTCTACAACAACCTGGCCTTTTTTTTTCGGGGGGGAAGGGGGGAAAGAAAAATACCGAGTGTTCTGAACCTCTCCCTCTGGAGTCTGGACAAATGATTCAAAGCTCCATTGGTCGACTAACTCAACTCCTGTTCTGTTAGCGGCTTCTCTAACCGTTAGAGGAAAAGAAGCAACCTTTCAAGTTTTCGAGTTTGAAATGGATATATCGTCACAAACAGAACTGCCCGGTAAAACCGTAGGCAGAGAGAGAGAAGAGGACAACAAACGAGGGGCTGTGACAAACTGTTTCGTCGGAGTTTCACCGACGTCATATATATATATATACACACCCTCATGACCCATTTACTGACCACATCAAGGTCGTACATGCGCATGAGGTAGCTCGTGCTACAAACTTGCGCCAGGTGTTACAATTGCCGGATGTAGTTGCATTGCACCCCGACCCTCAAGCAGCCACACATGTTCGTGTATGTGACAAACTGATGCCACCCACGCGTGTCCAGTTTTGTAACTTCACTGATGTGTCCTTGAGTGTTACTCCTAGCATGACCTTACCCAACTCCTCTGATTGTGAATGCCGCAGAGTCTTTCCACATTGTTCTGATCTTCTGGATGACCATATTGTGTCTATTGACTACAATATCATCTCCGATGATTGCCTTCGCAAGCTTTTTCAAGAAGGCTCGAAGTATCGGCTGAATGGGGAAACTACCGATGTGCTCCAGGCACTGGCAATTGGACTAGATTAGTACATTGCCAATTACAAAAGGTTGTTGGCCGGACATTCTCGATCTGCTTCTTTCTCGTCTCTTTCTCAGAAGCTGAGCAGCTGGCGTTCTGCAATCCTTGCGCATTGTCAATCCAATGCATCTTCGTTCTCCAATCATGTGAGCCAGACACGTTCACTACGTTCTACACATGCCTCCTTGCACCATCTTCAACAACACTTTGCTATTGTCCCTGTGGACAGAACATCACACAATTTGGCAATTTGCTGCAAGAATTGGTATTTGTTTCATCTCTCTCATTTGGACAGTCCCACTTATACTCGTCCTCAAGAGTCCGTTGCTGATGTCCTTGACCACCATGCAGTGTGGAATCACCATTGGGGTTACACCCACACTGATACCCTAGCTTACCTTTACTATGTACTCAAAGCTCACAAGTCTCCTCCAGCTCTTTGTAGCATTCTTGAAGTCACAGCACAAAATAACAGTGTTGTTCCCCTGTGTGCTCGCCCTCGTCCAACAATTCGCACCATTCATGAACGGCCTCCTCACAAACCCTTGGCTAGCACAACGACTACTTCGTCGTATCTCAGCGCTGCTTTGCAAGGAGTGATCTCTAGTCTTCGCGAGAAAGACACTGAGCTCTATCAACAGGTTGGTGTTCAACGGTGCTGGATCGTTCAGAGTGCCGATGAAGTGGCGATTGACTTGAAAAGCAATGCATCGTCTCTTCGTGGCCGCTCTCCTCGCACTGTTGATTTTACCACAATGTACACTAACCTTCCTCATGACCGCATTTTGAATAATGTGGCAAAGGCTGTTGATGAAGCTCATGCTTATGCCCTTCAGCAAGCTCACACGCATTCACGCTGCGTTGCCCTCAACATGGTTATTCGAGGACCTCGTTGTGGCCAATGGACAACTGATTCAGGCCCGGATACCATTTTTGTTTCTCAGATTCTCCAACATCTTCGCTTTGTCGTCTTTGATAAAGCGGCTGCTTGGGACTTCCCTGTCATTCGTTATCCAAGTGCAACCTCCAACATCCCTTCCCATCAACCGGGTGGTGTGTTCACTGGGCAATTGACCAGATTTGAACAAATCTGTAACAATTGGCAGGACTTTCAAACTGCGGCTACAACACTTACTCGTCGTATGCTTTCGCGTGGGCATTCCCCACCAACCCTTGCTAAGGGTTGGACCTGCTACATGCGCTCCCGCCATCGTCGCTATCCTACGCATGTGATGTGTCTCTCTCAGTGGTTCCGATGCATGTTTCAATGGTCCTTGTATCATCCAATTTTTTCTTTACCCCCACGATTCTCCCGTCCTGCCCCTGCTTGCTCATCTGCTGCTACCGCAGTTTTCACTGCTGCGGTCTCCACTCCTGCAGCGTCCACTGTTGCAGTCTCCACTCCTGCAGTGTCCACTGTTGCGGTTTCCACTGCTGCAGTGTCCACTGCTGCAGTTTCCACTGCTGCAGAGTCCACTGTTGCTCCACTGCTGCAGTGTTCACTGCTGCAGTTTCCATTACTCCAGTTTCCACTGCTCCAGTTTCCACTGCTCCAGTTTTCGCTGCTGCAGTTTCTACTGCTGTGGTTTCCACTACTGCAGTTTTTAGTACAACAGTTTCCCTAACTGTACTTCCCCCTACTTTAGTTTTTACCGCTACAGCTTCCTGTCCTGCAGCTCCAATGCAAAGAACATCACAATCTCTCCGACGCTCACGTCCTTTGCTTCGAAATCTTGCCCAATGCACCCCCCTCTCATCTTTGTCTGTGCTTGGCCGTAGACGATTGCGTTCCTCCTCACCACCCCCGTCTCCCCCACGTTCTCGCTTGCGAACAGACTCTCCAGTTTCCATTGTTCCCATTGTTCCACCTTCGTTGCTAGGTACAAGTTCAGCTTCTGTTTGCAACACCACTACTCCTCTCGTTGTGTATCACCGACGACATCCGCGGCATCGTCACTTGTTCGGGGATCAGCAACCTGTTTCGTTGTCCGCCCTGATTCTCTATGTGCCGCCTCCACAAGGTGCTTGCGGTTCCTTTGTTTCAAACGGCAATATTCGCTCCTATGCCTCCTGCAAACAGTCCAGCTGCCTGCAGGCAGCCACCAGTCCCTACTCAGGATGCAGCCGCTGCCCAGAGTACACTCCCGACTCCAGGTACAGTCCCTACTCAGGATGCAGCCCTAAACGTTGAGGGATTGGAACATGATCTGCCCAGATTGCAGTTGACCTCGCAAGGCGTAGACCACATGGGAGATCTGCAAATGGCTGACCAGCATTGTTCGGATGAACCACAATTTTGTGCTCCGCCGCGCACGGACCACATGGGTGATCTGCAAATGACTGACCAGCAAACAACCCAACACAGTTTGGGCTTGCAACGCCATCTGGGTGATCTACAAATTGTTGGCCAGCATCTAACAAACCAGCCTGAGAACCTCAACAATCTTTGTGGTCTGGCAGCAACTAATATCGGTCTTCACATTCTCCACCGCCCTTTTTATACACCATCAGACTTCCTTGCAATCACCCTTCAGCTTGATGCTGATCTTCCCCAACGACAGCCAGAGGATTGTAATTATACCAGCGAAGAAGGCTTTACCATTGCTGTCCGATAAGTAGCAATGAGGGACCGTCAACTTGAACTACGCAATGCTCGAGCAGGTGAGTGGTTTAATCCTCCATCCCACATCTCTGCCTGCATTGTGCACGGCCCTGGCCATTACATGGCCATTGTACATGCCTCTGACCACTGGGAGCTGTGGGACAACGGCACCATGGTCCATGCCATGATTGATATCACTGGTTTCTTACAAATGATGTTGTTTTCTTGCCACAACAAACCGTCCACAATCTCTTTTATGTTGAAGATCATTCCTCTGGCCCCGTGCTGCAGCAAGACAATGTACCAACACTCTGCGACCTTCTCCATTGCACAGCCACAAGCACTGTTACACTCGGCTGTAGCTGCCATCGTCTCTCTCACAGTCCCTACAATGACATGGTTTCTGCATCCATGTGTGCAGAGGACTGTTGCACCGTTCCTGACTGCAAGCAGGCTCCACATCCGGACACTATATGTCTATTTTGCGGCCATGGGCGCTATACTGAATGCGTGGTCTTTTGTGGTGACCGTTCTTCTTTCATTTTGGCCTGCAGTCGACATGCCATTCGTTGGGGGTGTATGATGGGCATGCTCAATGCCACCCGTCGTGGCAATTGTTGCACTGAGAATGCTCAGCTAGGTCGTCAATGTGTTCATCCACGTCATCCTTACAATCTATGTCCTCTCTGTCGTCAAGGACAGACTCATTGTTGAGCCTTTTCTTATCCTCTTTTGCCTTCATCTTCACTCCATACTCCATACTTTCCCTTACTTTCCCTTTATCGTTCTTTGTTTGTCTGCTCTCCATCTCTCCTCCCTGTGTTTATCCCCTCCCCCTTCACTCTGCCTCTTTCTCACAGCGTACAAGTGGGCTGTTATGGCACACGGGGATGGGGGCAGCTCGCGCTCAACTTCATCAACGTGGTGAGCCTTGTACGTTAGAGGCACGTTGAAAGGGGAGTCAAAAGAAGAATGAGAAAAATGAATGGTTTCACTGTGCCCTTCATGTTTGTCTTGTTTTTTTTAATTTTTTATTTTTGCCGTTTGTTTCGCAAATTGCGCTCTTTTAGTTCATAGTTATGTGACAATATATATAGATGTAGATGTCCTCCAGGACATCCGTTAAAATTGGAACGACACAGAGAACATTTGCATGGCCCCTGCGCAAGGATGACACGCATGAATAGAGAAACAGTACAATTTTATTTTAATTAAAAGAAAAAGGAAAGAGATGCAGATGTACAAGCAATAGCATCAAGGTTGTATGTACATCTCGTTTCCATGCCCGTAAGCCTTCTGGTCGAGATCAGGCAGGGTTGTCTTTTTTTCAATACTGGTTTCAAATTTGGTGGGGTTGGTTGGTGGTCCTCATCAAATGTTGTCGGACACACAGGCCCTTTGCCACAGTCCCAATACCATCATGGGCCCTTCGGCACAGTCCCAACACTGTTGTCTGCCGATAGGATGACATGACATGAAGGCAGCAGTGAAAAGAAAGGCTTGGCCGGTGTGCACACTGCATGTCTCCTTACAGTGTTATTGGTAGCTGGGGGTTAGTTCATACGTGGCCGGTAGACTTTGGTTGCCCCCTGCATGCAGCGAACATGGTCCTTACCCACAGAATCCCTAGGAAAAGGTCACAGGAGGGAAAAAAAAGGGAGAAAAAAGAAAAGCAAAAAGGGTCTAGAGGCTAAAAAAAATGGTAAAGATGTGCATGTTTGCGAAACTTTGTGAAGCATGTCCCTCTGTGTAGAGAGTGTATTCTGTTCAAGGGAAGACGGGTAGTTGGACCGTAATTCTTTAATGGGGGGTTTAAAAGGGTATACCTGAGGCTCAAGACCCTCGTGCACAGGGTCTTTGATTGGCGGATACAGCCCAAAATCCACACCTCCATTTTTCGCCGCGGCCCTCGCCAGCGCCCTGTCCGCCAACTTCTTCGCCACAAAGTCTGCCTCTATGGCCTCCGTATTAGTAGAAGGAGGCAAACCAACGACAACAAAGTGCTCGAAGAAGGTGCTGGGTTCGAGCCTCATTTTTTTTTCCTGCATTGCCGGAGAATCACAGAGAGAAAGACATACGGTGAGAGAGAGAGAGTGC